TTTTTTTTTTTTTTTTTTTTTTAACTGGTAAATGGGACTGTTCTGTTTTGTTTTCTTTTTTTTAAGAGCCATATGAGGAGAAAAGGACTGTTTTCAGTTCCTCCCTTTTCTTGTTTCCCAAGATGGCTTTAATTGAGACTTTGGTTGCAGTCCCTTGCAGAAAGCTTCCTGTATTCTGTGTACACTGACATCATTCTTGCCTTACAAGATTTCACTCTGAAATCCCTGTCCTTATTGTTTTGGGGCCATGCTTTTTATAAAGTCTCTACTCTGCCAGTACTGGCTAATCTTAAGCACTGCACTCTCTCCTTTGTCAATTATTTGCCATTTCATTACCTGTTGTACAACTTCTCCATCATCACTATGTTGACTTTCCCATTCCTCCTAGAAATAAGATTGAAAACCTCTCCTTGCTTATTATTAGTCAGGTGGCTGCCAGCTCTCCTTATGTTGTCTAGACCCCCCCCACCCATTTCCCCCTGCTGACTGGCATTTCTGTTAACTTCTGTGCTGAGATGCCCTGAGCAGTACATCATGAAACTAACTTGGAACTTCTCTTCCAGCATGCTTTCCACTTTCACTGCATCTCTCGCTGGCTCAAGACTCGCCAGGTGTGTCCGTTAGACAACAGAGAATGGGAGTTCCAAAAGTACGTATTTTGTGCAATTCCTGACATGGCAAATGCAGTGGTCCGTCCATTAGGTCTTTTGGTAGATACTGATGCTTGGTGCTTGAATAAGCATTTCTTGGGGGTTTTTGGGTCTGGCTGCATAGTCTCCCATGGAAGGGAGAATAGTTTTACACTGATGCTCCCCTAGTCACCTGCCAGCATTGAAGGCTCTAAAGTGAGTCCAAATAGCTCCAAAGTAAATGAGAGCAATTATAAACTATATTGATGCACTCTCTTGAGAGCAGAGGCAAGTGGATTTAGCTGAAAGCAGAGCCTCAGATGAATGTTGAGCTGTCACACAAGTAGCTTGGATTCAGAAATTGGCCTGTATAGTGTCCATTGGTCTGAAATATTTATCTCAAGGTGCCAAAGTCACATTCATTTTGATTTTTGCCATGTCGATCTTATTTTTTAAAACCCTATCACAGTTGCAAAAGAATAATGGCAACTGCACTAGCTTGGCTTGGTGCATATTTGCAGAACCAAGTGGATGAGCCAGATCAGTGGACTTGCTTTAAAAAAAAAACAAAACAAAAAAAAGACCCCTTGTAAAAACAGGCAGAGGAGCTACCAGTCAGAATTGAGAAGCATTTGGCAGGTGTGTGTGGGTGTGCAGGTGAGTTATGACAGGGAGTATTATAGGTTGGGATTAAGATACCTTACATTGGTATTAGGGTGCGTTGCCTAGTACCTGCTGCCCTCTGCTTCATTTTAACTGCATCATTTCTCTTTCACTTTGAGGTAATCTTGACCAATCTTTATTACAGACATTTTTTCCCCTAAATTGATTCCAGATTTAAAAAACCAACAAACCATAAAACAGTGTATTAAGACATTTTAGGACACATTTGGGCACTATAGGCATGTATTTATATAAACGATCACTATTGTGACAACTTTTGCACCCTAATGCAGGACTTTAACACTTTACTATGGGAGCCATAGTTGAACACATGGCTCAGTAATACCTGTTCTGTCTGATTTAGTGAGTAAATTGTCAGGATTTCGCTATGAGACAAAATGGATACTTCATACAAATACTTGGTGATATATCTGGGGTAGTGACATACTCCAGGTTTGTTTCACTCAAGACAAATCTGAGAATTAGTGTTCAGAGCAAAATACTAAGGTGAGCCTGCCTATAAAATAGTGGGCTGATTAATGTCCTGGTCAGTACTAATATCTGATAGACTTAATATAACTATTTTTCATTATCTTAAGAACTTTCTTAGTGTTACCACTGGGCTTGATGCACATATTTACATACTGCATGTTAATTGGATCAAGCATTGTGGCTTTATCAGAAAACTTGGCACTAGTGCTCAATATAAAACACCTTAACATGACATCTTTTTGTATTTGCAGGTATGGGCACTAGAGAGATGGTGACCAAGCTCATTGTTCTGTCATTAGCATGATTAATTCACTTTATGAAGGTGTCTGTTTTAGATGTTGTTGGCAGCAGTTATGTCCTACTTCGTTTTGATCTTAATGTAACCGTATTGTGTATTGTTAAATAAAATCTTGGTGAAACCTCCCTTTAACTTTGTCTTGAGTGTTTGTGAACGGAATGATTGTAAGCAGGGGAGGGACATCTCCAGAAGGCAGGGAGTCAGCTAAACTTTTATTGATTTGGTTTACTGCTGGGGCTGGTTTTGGGGACTGAAATTCTGTGTTCCACTAGAGAATATCCTGTTAGGCCCCTCTCCCTAATCTCCAACCTGGAAGGATTAGTTTTGGGAGTCAGTGCCAATTCTTTAAGCAGTTGAGCCACCATCTTGGGCTGATTTGAGGTCAAGGTGAGCTTTGCCATGCACTTCAATAGGAAAAGGAGCTGCCCTTTAATTTTGGGCCAGCTGAGAGTATAATTTGTGCAAGTAGTATTTCTGATTTGGACGCTGCTCTGTTAGAAGCTAGATCAAAATGGCTCAGTTACGCCATGCAGTGCAATTTTCCCCGATGGAAATTATTACCCATTGCTTCTGATTATGAAATTTGATTAGGACAGGTGACTGACAGCAAAAGTTCCTTAACCATTCCCAGTTCCAAGTCCATTCCTTTTGGTTCTGGTGAACAGAGTTTCTATGTTGCTGGTTATAAAATAAATAAATAAACAAAAACCCTTTTACAGTTAGTGCAAATAAAGCCCCTCCCTCAATTAGCTCATGTTCTAAAGTAGGCAACTTTAAAGTCACCAACTCATGGTGAATGAGCAAGATAGAATTAATGGGGTTTCACCTGTATGTCCCAGGACAGATTAAGTCCAGACTTACATTGGCCAAAACTTGTTACTGTCTGTAGGTTACAGAGTAACCTATATTAATTTTGGTCTGTCCCATTCCCTCGGCCAATGTCCATATTGTTAAAATGTGATCGAGTAGAGAGGTCAAGATCTCAAATGACCACATAGAATTAAATTCCTTTTGTTACAAGAGACTGTTCTTTCATAATAGTAATTATGTACACAGTAGATCAACCAACCTTTGGGAATGTGACTAGTGTGTCAGAATGCTAACCCAGGATATGCTGCCTTTCTCCCATATGGAAGTTGAGGGCTTTAGATGACCAGTGGGTGAAGCTGCCCCCAGATGGCGGATGCCTCCCTGCTCCAGTTCTGCGAATGGGGCAGTATCAGGTCTTTGTGCTGCTGCAGGCAGCAAAGTACAGTGTGGTCTGGGTAATTGCAAAGCTGACAGTACAGTGCAGGAGTCAGACACCTGACTTGCAGGGCTACCTGAGTGACTAGTGACAGCACTGGCAACACATGCAACTTCATGATATGCTTTGCACACATGAGTTGTGCTTCCTGAACAAGCTCCTGTTGTCAGAAGAGTGGCCAAGATAGCAAGGGACAATGGAGTACACTGTACAAAGGCAGCATGTGATGGTGGCTCCCTGCTTTTCCATTTCCCTTGCTTATGGCCTCAGTCTAGTTGTGAGGGAATTTCTGGAGAAGAGTTCAGATGCTGCTGCTGATGGTCAGAGGAGGCCCTGTTACCTCTTCAGCCAGTCCTGTACAAGGTACCACGCACTCAGAGCTGCAGGGGTTGCCCAAACTGCTGTGCTACCAAATGAAGCAGAAGGATAGAACTCCACAAGACCAGGACACTTCTATGAGCAGAGAGTAGCCATGGTGATAGTGCAGGCTGTGGACGTGTCTAGGTGAGCTCAGACAGACACTTGCCATCCACTCAGCAGCTACTCCTGAAGAAGCTAGTTGATGCCTTAAGTCTGTTTGAGATCACAAGGATGGTCAGTGAAGATAATGTGGGAATCAACCTGTGCTATCCTGTGGTGCTGGGGAGAGAACTGACATATATGTAGACCATTTGACTTGCACCTGCAAGCAGTCTGGGAGATTACCATGTCTAGGCATTAAGAAAAGAGGATGTTGCTGGATGGCAACATATCTGAACCTTCAGTTTACAACTGTTCCTGGACTTTTCTCTCAGCAGAGCAAGGAGGCAGGAATATGGCTTTGATAAAAACCACAGGCTTGGGTAAACACGTTGCCTGTGTTTACCCAAGAGAACCATTGCCAACATGAGGAAATACTAGAGCAGATGCTGTGGCAGGAGGAGCGTGAGACCATGGCACAGGGCAGTGAATCTTGGAATGATCTGCCTTGCCTCTTCCTACCATGAGCAGAAGGGAATATGCTCCTGCTATAGCAAACAATATTAGAGGGCAATCTTTGCTCATTGACTCAGGGTATCTCAACATTGTGCATCTACACCATGTGCTGTAGAAGAATGTAGAGCTACCAGAGATGGTCTAGCTGCTGCAACAAGGGGGTCTACATACGCTAATTTACCCTTCTGAGAATTTGTCTCTTTCAGAGTTCCAAGCTGCCACAGATAGTTTCCAGTACTTGAGCTAGCTCTAGTATCTACACGCTACAGGAACAGGAGGGACTAAAACACAGATAAACCCTCAGCTTCTTCTTGTTACTGGTGCTGAGGAAGGCAGTATGACTACCACTGTATATGCTGATGGTCAGCCACCTCTCATTTCCGTTGTTAAGCATCTAGTTGAGGCAGCAGCTACACTTGCTGTGCAACAGAAGACTGAGCCTTTCTACAACAAATGTTGAGAGACTGGCTGATCAGAATGAATAGATGCTGGCTTCCCAAGAACCTCACCCAGCGTGGGAGTGAAAGAGGACAGCAGCAGCTACTTGCTGGAAGACCCTGAGGCCATGGTGGAGAGAAGGAGGTGGAGAAGGACACTGCTTGGGGGAATTTTGGCCACTAGGTCCCCTGGAGGGATAGAGAGGAAACTGGCGGGTGGTATGTGAAGGAACATACCTTTATCCCCTACCTTAGTTAACTTTTGCTATTTTTTTCACACAAACTTTGAAAACAGTGAGTGCCTTTGCACAGCATTTGGTTTACTCATTGCAGTCATGAAATGAACACTGCTGATGCATTTTATTTTGCTGTGGTTGGGATGGAAGTGTTGGGAAGAAATGTGTCTTATTCCCTATGTACGTCACTTTGTTTCCTTACATTTTTTTTCTGAAAGCCCAGGTTTTGCTGTCATTGCATTTGCGTATTCACAGATTTCCATATGTGGGTTTTGGGTATTTTTCAAAATTTCTCTCTGTTCCATTCTGATTTTTGCTTTCATTGTGGAAGCCCGGAGGGAGGTGGGGATGTACGTGGAACCTGAGGGGGAATACTGGCAGGATTTTGGATCACCTGTAGGGTAATTATAACCTAGTGCCCAGTCAACATGCTGTCTGTTGGAAGGATTACCCTTTGTTTCTGTAACTTAACTCTTTCAGTGGGATAGATTGGTGGTCTATATGTTAACTCCCAACCAAGCTGCCTGGTGAGATGCTTTCCATTTGCTCCCTATTCTGTCCAGTTTGACTAATCCTACCAGAAGCTGAAACTCATGCTAACAGAACTTCCAAAGGCATTGAACTACAGAGATTTGTCACTCCTGGGGAAGGGGAAGGCACGTGGATAAAAGAAGGTGTTTAGAAAATGTTTTCATATATAAAAGCTTATTGGAAATGAATAATTACAAACTTCAGGCTCACCTTGGAATGTCTTGCAGTGTGTAATGACAGAATGTTTTTCAGGGGCACACTTTCCCAAAGCAGTAGCAATGCCCAGACCTGCTGTATCCTGTTTGGTGCCTAATATAGGGGAAAGTGCAGAGTAAGTGCAGTGGGGAGCCAGCTTGAGGCAGCAGTGTTGTAGGCATAGCCTTCACATAACAGGGACACTGAAATAGGAAATTAGTAACTAGCTAGCAAGTTAAAGGTTAAGGAGCATTCCTTGATTTGTTCTCAGTGAGTGAGACCAAGAGCAGGCCCTGGGTCCCAAACCTACAGCCGGCCCTGAATTCGTGTGGTCACTGGGGGAATGTATCCCTCTGTGACTCCATCTGGGCATGAGTGTGTTCCTGGGCCTCCGCTGGCTGCTTCCCTGCTGAGACCATCCCATCCAAGGTCTCTAGCACCCAGGACATGGCTTGCATCTACTGTTTCTCCAAATTCCTGCAGGGAGAAGTTTGGTCACTTGCTCTCTTGTTCTTCATGGCAGCAGTGGCGTCTGGTCCCACTCCTCCAAAACAGGAGACAAGCAAAATAGTGGAGGCTGTTTCTATACTTGCAAGGGACCAGGTAGAGGGGAGCCAGCTTGCTGTTGGATTGGTGGTAATGAGCAGTACTCGGAGGGTCTCTTCTCAGTATTTTACATGTCACTATCTGAAGGGGACCACAGAACTCCAGTCCCCAGCTCCCTTGCCTGCCTCACTGAGGGGTTGGTGTTACACAGGTGGCAGGCAGCCATACATGGCTGTCTTCCTGCAATAGTGACGTGCTCTCAGGTGCCAGAGTCCTTTTAAGTGTGTTGTGGTCCTTGCACTCCTTTTGGGGGTGCTAAAAGGATTCTTTCTCCCTCCCATTCATTGCTTGTTTTGGCTTTATTAAGTGTGTGGGTGTGCAGAGAGGCAGAAAAATGGAGGTGGTGAAGTGTTCATTCAAAACAGCCCTCTTAACTCCCTTCTGCCCTGCCTTCCCTGCTCTGAATGACAGTCAGAATTTAAGTCAAAATGGCCCCTGGCATAGTTCTTCTTCCATGCTGCAACAGAGTACAGCCTTTTCTTGACATTAAAAAAGTGTGGAAAGTATCAAAATTGAAACATTCTGGCATTTTAGACATTAAATTCCACAAGTGCTTATTTTTGTCCAAAATTTTGACAATTTGTACATTAAATTCCAGCTCTGAAAACACTCTGTGTTTTTGTCACAATTTGAGTCCAAGTAAAGCCTGGAATTTTTTCCAATGGAAATTCTGTTCGTCTGGCAGCTCAAGCATTTTGACTTCCTGACAGGTCCGGCACCGGCTGAGAGAACGTTTTATGGGGATCCCTGGAGCAGGCAAACAGACTAGATAAAACAAATGGAGTTTCTAGTCAAGCATCTTCTTCAGTTCCTTGTACATAGTTTGATTGGTCTATCAGGCTGTTGGGAAAGTTGCACCAGGTAAGCTTCACCTTCCTGTCTGCCTTAATCAATGGCATTCTCTGCCTCTTTGTGGCGTGCAGGACTGTTTGTCTCCAACTCTTCCTCATTTGACTTCTTCCAACATATCTGTTCATCCCAGAGGAGAATGAAGGGCCCTCAAATATCCACAAATCCCTTCTCACCAGTGTGTTACCACAGGAGATATAACAGCATAGGATGACAGCACCATGAGGCTTGTCTGTGAGCCTGTGGATCTTCCAGCAGGCTCCCAGTGGTATGAAAATCTCCCTGCAGGGATCAGTGCCAAGGTCAGTCCTGAACTGTTTAGCCAGATGGACCTTGGGCTTGTCTCAATATTCTTGCAAGGTGATGGGGGTGGAGTAAGAGGAGATGCCCCTTCAATCTAGGTGGGGGGGGGATGCACTAGATTATCTCTTCCTCTTTAAGACACATGGAAATAGGGGGAGACAGACTTTTAAGCAACTTACTAATATAGAGGTTGAACTGTGAATGTCCATTGGAGGCACATTTGAGATTAGTTGCATCTGTGCAGGATGACTTTGAGTGGGCTGAGGTAAGCAAGAACCTGCTGGTCAACAGAACTGCACAGCAAATTCTTGGTGGAGGGAGCCCAATAAAAAAGCAGGCAATTGTGGGCTCTGCCTCAGCAGGTTTCCTGGATCTTCCAGGCCTCCTGTGTTCTCATTTCAGCCTTGGGCTTCATTTTGCAGACAGTCATTGAGAGGTGATAACCTGTGCAATAGCTTCCTCAACCCCCATCATGCTCTGATGCCACCCCTTTGAATCCATATACCTCACAAAGCAAGCTCTTTCTCCCCGTCTTTCCATAGCACAAATTAAAGTACCTGTATGCTCTGAGCTGGTGACACTGGTTTGTCACAGGCAGCATCACTGTAATCCTTAGTATAGTTAATTCCTCTTAGTTAGTAATTAGTCTTTAATAAAACTTCCAGGTTGCTTATTTGTTTGTTTGTTTGTTTACTTTATATATAACTCATTTATTCACTTTATGTATAACTCAGGGCGGTTTACGGTAAGAAGCAGAATAAAAGCGAATAGACTAGAATATGAAACAAAAGCTGCTTCAACAGTATTGCGGCTGAGCCTGGCTTTGCCAAGTGCCTGTCCAAAGAGGAAGGACTTACAGCATTTTTGGAAGATGTCCAGGATCAGGCTCTGGTGGGCCTCAAAGGGGGAGGGTGTTCCAGAGCTGAAGAGCAACTACTAAGAATGACCTCCCATGTGTTTTTGCCAAGTGAGCTTGGTTTACTGATGCTACTAATAAGAGAATGCTCCCAGCTGATCTTGGGGACCTTACAGAGAAACTGGTTCCTTAGGTATATGGGGCCCAGGTTGTTTAGGCTAGGACCATTTCATTTTATCTTTGTTTATAATTCTGTAAACAGTTTTGTTTCAGTACTGACTTCCTGTTAGATCAGAAATCTCCGGGTTTCAAATGCTGCTATTCACTAGTGCTGCTAGCAAAAGATGACCATATAAACCAGCCATACATTATTTTGAGATGATACCAACAGAGTTCAGGGATTAGTTTAAATCTATTTTAGCTGAAGGTCAACTGCTTTCCAAAACTTCTCTATAAACATCTGGTGATGGCCACGCCCTGTTACTACACATTGCTCCTCTTGGCTATATCTAGTATTCGCAACAAACTGCAAACAAGAGGGGATTTACTGTTCAAAGGCTGTGACCTGTTTTGTGACAAAACGGATAATATTTTAAGATCTTTTATGGACTGAAAAACAAGTCTTAGATCTTTAGGGGTCTTTGTCGCGGCCCAGAGTGAAAACATGTTAGATCTCAAGGATACCACAGACAGCCTTCATATCACCAGCATAGGCCACTAAAGCCTTTGAATAAAAGATGAAAGCCTTCCAAAAGGAGAAATTCTACAACAACTTCCACTGCTTCCCAGCTACCTCCTTCCCCCTCTGACAGAGCAGCCTCCCTTTTAGCTTCAGATATCCCTATTATTTTCCCTTCCTTTGGCCATGGGTTAGCTCATTTTCCAGCATGCCTGATCCACCCTAATTCAGATGAGTAAGTGACTGGGGGACCCTCTGACAGGCCACTACAGTTGATACACAAGATACAATTCCGCTCTTTACCTCCTAATTCCCTTTCCCCATCCTCACTGAGGGACCCCTTTCACTGGAGGACATTAAAACTAAAAGCAAAATCTTTCATAAATCTTGGTGTGATAGAAAAGGTATCATATTATCAAAGGTGAGAGGGTTTTATTTCAGATAGTTCTTTATCCCAAAGAAAAAGGGAAGTATTCATTGCAAAAAATTGAAGGCTTACTTCAGAACCACCAAGTTCAGAATAGTGTCTCTACCACTAATCGTTCCATCCCTATATCCAAAGGGGTGGCCTGCTGCTTTCAACCTTTAGGATGCCTATTTTCATATTGCCATTCATCCTGCCCACATATTCCTCCTGTGCTTCATAATAAGCAGTTGTCATTATCAATATCACTTCCTTCCCTTTGGATTTGCAACAGCTGTGTGTTCATAAGGTACCTGTCAATTATAGTTCCTTACCTCAAAAGATTGGGTCTCTGAGGGTTTCTGTGTTTGGGCAAGGAGCTGATGCAAGGTCATTCAATGCAGTGCATGCATGAAAATCTCAGGAACATCTTCTGAGGTTTCATCCCTTAGGCCTATTAGTAAATTGTAAAAAGATAGTTTTTACACCCTACCAAGACACGACCTCAGCAAAGGCTTCTCTGCTTCCTGATGGATTCTGAGCTATGTTGAACCTCTGTGTCCACTGCCAGGCATCACCAAGTTTCTTTGCAACCTACACAAAAGAGGATCAAAGCCAAACGGATATCAGCGACTATCCCACATATCAGACTGTGTTACTGATTGATTGGCATACCCCCTGCAAGTCAGGTGTTACCTCATTCAGTGAGAGTTCACTCCAGGTCAGAAGCTTCTTTAAGAAATGTATCAGAGATATCTGTATGGTTGTCTGCATCCACTCTATCAAAATAATAGACACATGTTCAAGCTGCAGGAGATGATTCATAATTCAACAGAATAGTGCTACTCTTTACCTAGAATTATTGCAGCCACATCTGTCTAGAGTTAATGTTGGGAAGTCACCAACCATGTAATATGCATGGCATACCAGGCTATAGGTTACTTAAGTCCACAATAACTTAAAGTTCTTTGTGCTGTTTAGTCCACACACACAACTGTTCCATGAGTCGCCATCCATTGCCTCTGCTTACACCACAGGGCCTTTGGCTGTCAAATGAACTGGGATGGCTGGGATTTCTTTGTCCCTTTTAACTGTCTGGTCTCAATGCAAGATTGCGTCACACTAGTGGATATCACTGATTTCAACATCTTTTGACTCAGGTGTACTGGTCAGTGGAATATGTATATGGACTGACCATGTTGAGGGAAGAGAAACATAAGTTATTATGCTGGTAACAGGCTGTTTTTGAGTGTTGCATCTTTGTAATCCAGAAGGTGCCAGTGAGGAAAGTGTGTTAATTTGTCTGTTAAGTTAGTCCTTCACAAAGCATGCCTAGAGCAGCAGCTCCAGTTTGTATGTGTGGTACCTGTGTTAGAGCTTAAGGAAGTGGTAGCTGGGCACACCCCTGAGAATAAGGAACACAGGCAGGGTGGAGTTGGGGGTGAGGGCCTAGACATTCAAGGATCTTTGTGATTTGCATTTTTGAAAATGTCACGTCTCCAGAAAAGTAAATAAAGTCCTTTTGAAGCACCCAAATGGCCATTTTTTGACTGCGCTGCCTTTCTAACATATTGGTCTCAACCACCAAATGTATAAAATAAAGATAGCAACAGCTACAAACTCATCAATGTGTTGTTAGAACAGATTGGTCAATATTTGTATAGGTTTCTGGAGGAGCAAAGTTCACCATACCGGTAAATACTTATGTGGAAAATGTGTACAGTAATTTCTCATTATTATGTATATGGGGTTTATTCTAAGTCTGTTTAAAAAAAAGAGAAGTCGCAATAAAAATGGCTTAAATTGAGACTGTGTAGAGATGGCAAAATTTTGGTGATGAGTCATGAAGGGATCAAAAATGATCTGTGTCTAACTTCCTGTCTTCCAGTTGTCTGTCCTGAACAGCCACTTCCTGTCCCATTGGCCTGATTTCAAACAACAGGCAGTAGGTCCTATGCAGTAATATTTAACATCCTCAGGACATGTTGCATATGATTTCACCTGTTCCTTTGAGTCATAGTAAGATTTGTTTAAAATGTATTTATCCTCTTTTTTTTTTTTTTTGGTCAAACACCCTGAGTGCAAGAGAGTTTTAAGTTGGATCTAAGGTTTATGCTCTTTGAACAATTTTTTATCTTTCAGATTTCATACTGACCTCCAAAACATAATGTGCAATTAGCCACTGTATCATATTTCCTATTCTGTATGCAGTGTTGAATCACAATATTAGAGAAATATTTGGCACTAGAGAGAATAGCAAAGAAAATGACAAGCCATAAAAAACAATGCTAGAAGCCATGTGGTGTAAAGGGAATGTTTTTTCAAGTTTTCCAGAGTTGTTCACACACAATTCTGCATAAAGATTTTAGTCATGCAGAGAATTACAGATTGTTCTTCTGTTTATTTCGTATTTATTCCATGCCTACCCTTTACAAAAGTATTCTCTGGACTTGATTCATCACAACTCTTGAATTCTGAGGTGGCAATAGGTTTCTGGAGCACTTTCCACCTATGGTTTGTTTTAAGAAGCTACAACTCTTTCCTCCCTCTTAAGGCTGGATTGAGAGGCAAAAGACCTGTACCTAGAGTCTCAACTCCTGGCATTACGTAATGAAGTCAAGAATCTCATCTTAAATTTTACTCAAATAATATAAACTTTCTAGCCATCATGGTTGTAAAGTGAAGCTTGAAAACAGGAATCAGTGCAAATGAGCCAGAGATGTCTACCTAAGCCCTCAGAGAGCCTGAAGCAATACTTGCAAAGGTGTGAACTTCTTTGTGCATCTCAGTGGCATGTTTAACTGTAAGAGCCTTGTCACACATTGCACTTAGACAGCGGCGGGCAATTATTTTGGGCAGAGGGCCACTTACTGAGCTTTGGCAAGCCATCGAGGGCTGCATGATAGGCAGCCAGGGGCAGATAAATAATAATTTTCTAAATTTTTTAGGGGCTCACGGGCCAGATAGAATGGCCTGGTGGGCCACATCTGGCCCCCAGGCTGCATTTTGCCCACCCCGACTTAGGATGTTTAACTGTACTTAAAATGCTAGTGTCTGAGCAGTCAAGCAATAATACACATTGTAAGCAAAGTTAGGACTTTGTAAGCATCATAGCGTAGCAAAGTTAGGACTTTTCTGGTGAGGGATATCTTCAAATTGTTTTATTTAACACATGTTGAACTAATGTCCCATACAGCTACTCCACAGAGGACCAGGAGACTGTGCAGTTGTTGTTCCCACCCCACACCACACACTGCAGTGCACTGGAGGAGTCTTCAAGGGCTCCATTGCTTAGGCCATGTTTTATTTAAGTCATGGTAAGCATTACTGCTCAGCAACATTTCTAACTCATACTAACACTTATTACGATCTAAATCAAGCTGTCCTAAATGTAATGTTCGACAAGGCAATAAAACTCACCCTTCTAAGGCACCGCTGCAAATGTCCCCTTAGCAGAGGATCCTGTGTCAGGAGGAGAGGTATGCAATGGGCTCAGCCCACCCCCTTTCAAGCAGATAGGATCAAAGGATCATAGAAAGTCAGGGCTGGAAGGGACCTCATATGGTCATCTAGGCAAGCCCCCTCCTCAAGGCAGAATCATCCCTGACTAAACCATCCCAGCCAACCGTCTGTCAGACATACCTGATAGGATAAGAACATGGGCATAGGCCCTGTGGCCACCCTTGGGCTCCCAAAAGTGGGGGTGCCCTGCTTTGTTACATAGCCCTTGCCACAAAATGGAAAACTGTGTGAAGACCATCTGAATGCTAAATAAAAAAAGCAACTGCCTGGTCCATAGTGGAGTGGACCCCAGCAAACATATAATGCCAGTGCCCGGAAAAAGCAAGTTGTATACTTTTGAATGGGTGCATCTACATATTGCAGTATAGTGACATTGCTACAGTGCCTTTAGTGCTTTAGTGCTTCCTTTTGGAAGTAATAAAGCATGGCGCAATACAGTTAGTTACTGCACCATCCATGTGGCGCACAGTTGAATTTCACTGCTACATTGCCATAATGGCGCACTATACCCAGGGAGCGTGCCAGTATGGTGATGTAGCTGGAGACCACATGCAGACACACATGATCGCTATGCCACCATAACATGCTGTATGGTGACGTAGTGTGTCACTGTGTCACCGTAGGGCAACATGTAGACATGCCCAGTGTTATTTAAAAGGTTGGTTACAATCTTGAGAGCCAAGAATGGTTTGGAGCCTAATTACTATCAAGACCACTTCTCCTCCTATGTCCTAGCATTACAGCTCAGACCACTGGGAGCACACTACAAGTGTTACCTTCCAGAAGTGAATTTTTCAAGGTTAGTAAGCTGGGAGCAGTTTTTAAAGTATTTAAGTGTTTACAAATGCAGACAGGCGCAGACTGGCATTTTCAGTCACCAAGATACCTAACTCCCATTTCTATCAATATATCTATTTCTGTCTTTAGATATCTTCAAAATCTGGTCCTGGGTGCTCTCACTTTAGACCTCTTGCTCTGGAATTCACTTCTGAAAGGTATGGCAAAGCCTGGATTTTTCAGCTTTCAAAACATAGTGATAGGATTATTTGAAGAAGGTACTCAAATGGTGATCAACGGTCATTATGGTGAGGGAAGGGCCTCAATTTGGCAGTGGCCATAGTGTTCATGCAGTTATTCATGTGTATAGCACTATGCTCTAAGGATTTGTCTGGCTTTGATAAACAGTATCCAGGTGCTAAAGCAGAAGATGATTCAGTCATTTCTAAAATAAGGAACCCATTTTGGACACTGCATTTTTTTTTCTTCACTTCCTCCTCTTCCCTTTTTTTTGAGCAACTGGATGTAATTCTATATGTTATAGCAAGACAATGTCAGGGTTAGGCTAAGGACTCGTGCCCTGCAGCTTGATGGGTCATCTGAACCCAGTAAACTAAATATGGCTGTCTGAGCCTTAATCTGCAGGGCAAAGACTAACTGAGGCTTCTGCTCTGAAGCTGAAGTAACAGAGCCTAACTAGCCCTAGCCCCTTCCCTCTGATTGGTTCTGGATCAGCTCTTAAGGACACCCCCCGCCCCCCATCACCTGGCCCTTGGTGCACAGCTTACTGGTTTCCAATCCTTGTGTGTCTCCAGTGCTGGTAACTCTTCCTCTGACCCCCTTGATTCCTGGTTAACCCTCTAGCTCCATGTTTGGAATTCAGTTTGATCTTGGCTTGCTTCCTGGTGTCTGATTCTTGGTTAACCCTTTGGCTTGGTGTTTTGGACTTTGGTTTGACCTTAGCCTGCTTCCTAACCTCTGATCTCCAGTTTGTCCTTTGGTTCAGTTTTGGACTCCAAGCTTTGGTCCCCGCAACTCTGTTTAGAGCTCAGGTTGACCTTGGTTACTCCCAACCCATGGCTCACCTGTGCAACCCCACCAGTCCTTACTTCTGGCACCACCCAGTAGGCCTGACTCCCTTGTGAACTGTGACAGACATGCTTTGCCTGTTGTTTCTCCATGGGAGATACAGTGGGATTGGTATTGGAAGGTGGTTGCACATTAGGCCATGTATGAATTGAAAGCAATGCCCCTGAAAGAGTTACATATAAGTATGGGTGTGCATATACATGTGTGAAATAGGAAGGGAGCGCTATAGGTCCAGACTGAGAGCTGATGCAACACAGAAGACACGGAATCTGTGTTCCTATAGCTATTAAAAACTGAACATATCAGGTCACATCCTTTGACTAGCAGTAGGGATCATGTGTTGTGCTCAGAACGGTTCAAAGCAGTTGTGGACGGGCTGTGGAGCTGAAGAAGATGACTGACCTATAGTGATGGTTTTACGACTTTCTTCATGAGCAGAGACTCACAGAATAGCCAGGGAGAGATTGGGGTGGGGGTAAATTCTGAGGATGATGGCTAAAAATATCTTCTGTGTGTCACACTGAACATAAAGCTCTGGTCTCAACTTGGACTTTGGGATTTTAACCAAGACAGCACATGAAGTTATTGAAAAATGCATGCAGGCCCTGCTTCTAGACAGCACTATTATCTCAACTTGACCATCCCATTCAGCTAAACTTTGGGCCTCCCTGTTACTAAGCAAAGAGTCCTCTGTGGGGGTTCACCTGCAATGCATTCATCTCTACATGATTTATGAGCTGGTTCTGTGCTGCTGTGTAGATAAGCCCTAGCACCACTGGAGCTGTGTCACCAAGCTGTAACACATACCTAGTGTGTGACTGGTTTGATAGTTTTTGGTAACAGAAAGAGACTAAACCATCAACAGTTTGGTAACTAAGCATTTTGCTCTGGCCCTAACTTCTGCCCTTCCAATTCCTGGAAATGGACACTAAATATAAGTACTGGTAGGTATTTGCAGACAGGCATTTTACTTCCACAGGTTCTGCCATAGTAGAGGGGCTGTCAGTAGTGGTAGGCCTGATACACCCAACCCTGTCACAGCCTTGAAAGAAGCTGGGATGATTCCAATATAAACCCTGTATTGCTGAGTTGCCTGCCCCAGAGATGCTGTGACATGTCCAGTAGCAAATGTACACGTGCTGTTTGTCACTTAATTCTAAAAAGGCAGGGTTGAAAGGGATCTTAAGGGTTCCTTTAGTCCAGCCCCCTGCTCAAGGTAGGAGCATCTTTATTTAAACTATCTCATACAAGTGCTCATTTAACCTGTTCCTAAAACCAAATAAAAACCCTGTTGAATTTAGAAATCTAAATTCCTATGTGTGTGCTTATGTAAAATGTAATCATCGGCTGTGCTGCAAAAGATGCTCTCACTCATTTTCCATGCAGTCCTTGGGTTTAGGCCCTTTACTGAGGAGGGTGATTGCTTTGAATGGAATCAGTTAAGTTGGGGAGGACTGGAATGGATTTTTGGTGATGAATGAAGCAGCACTTTGTGAAGAGCAATTGTTTCTGTCCTTCCTACTAAAAGCCAGGGTTTCCCCTGAGGCTAATAATCTTGTCACTAACGCATATAGTCAGCCAAAATGTTTGGAATAGTTCTCCCTTTTTAATGACACTGGCGTCCATGCCAAGCATGTTTCTTGTAACTAGCAGGAACGCCCCCCTCAAAAAAGCAGAGTTGTGCCACCAAAACTAGGAGGGAGCAATCTGTCACTGTGCAGGTTTCCACATCCTGATCAGTCCAATAACATATGACGGCCCCTGCAAATGTCAGACTAAGGAGAGACATTGCACCCTCTTTGACAACTACTTGAATTTCTATTTCCAGTGATGGCCTCTGGCATAGGCGACTGGTAGGGGGTGCACAGGGGTGCACGTGCTCCCCCTGAGGGGGCCAGTGTCCCCCCTGACAGCCAACACTGATGCTGTTGGTAGGGCTAGTGCCCCCCCCCGCGACATGGCTGCTGCTGTTGGCGGCTTCTGCAGGTACCCCCCCAGATTCAGGAGGCACCAGTCACTCATGGCCTCCGAGACCCAGATGATTCTTCAAGGCAGCTGCCTCAGGT